AGCCGCTGCCATGTTCCCTGCTGCTCCCCCCACCCCCAGACGCAGCAGTGAGATAGGATGCTCGGATCTCCAAGCCTTTGAGCACCCAGTGCATCTTCCTCCGCTAAACCAGTTCAGATTCCTCCTTATGCAAGCAGAAGGCTAATTACTTAAGCAAGCCCACAGGTGAGTGGGAAGCCCATTTCTCCTGTGCCAAGCAGTTTTGGGTCTTATCCTCTTTTAGCTGCCACCTTTAAGATGCATTATGCAAATATTTTGGTGTCTTAAGTCATTTATGGGATTAATGTGAAGTGATTATCAGTTCTTTTTAATCATGCCAATCAATAACTGGATGTCAGGGACAGAGGACAAATGCAGATAAACGCTGCCATCAGCACAATGCGCAGGAAAGGGCGGAGGAGATGAGCCAGAAGCGCAGAGGGAGAAAGGCAGGGAGTAGGAAGAGAAAAATGGGATAATTACATCTTTGCGCCTGCAGAGTGTCTTGCATCCCAAAGCACCTCTGATATGTAAACATGCTAACGGAGCTACAAGAAGGAATTGGTTTATCCGCCACTAAAATGCAACTACATCTCTTTCTGGAAAAGAGCACAGCAACTCCATAACAGGACTTGATTCTCCAAAACGCAGAACACTGCAAGATACCCATTGTAAACTACAACCAGGAGATCTACATGTAAGGAAACACTGCCACACCAGAAGAGATAATTTTCTTCCCCAACAATCTCGTGTTTTAAGGGGATCTTCCATGGCCCTAAAATTAAAATCATCGTGGTATGCAAAGGTGTGTTAGCCAGTCGTAACGCCCCACACGAGCAGAGACCACAACAGATCCACTCCACGGGCTTTGAATTCAACTCCGTCCACCCACGCAGTTAGGCAGGATCGCAGGAAAACCTGACTTTGCTGGCATACCCCTGCACAAGGCACACGAACACCAAGGTGACATTGAGAGGAAAGGGAAGAAAGACTAAAGATACGGCAAACAGCCTGAGACAGCTTTTAATACATCAAACTGTCCCCAGGAGTTGTTGCTTTTGCCTTAGTGCACGGGAGGTTTGGAGCAGAGACTGCTCGTTTGTTCTGGCTTGTTCTACACCTGGCAGAACAGGGGGTAGCTCATAGCTGGGGCTCAGGCTTTGTATGAGAAAAGAGAGGGAACAGTAACCAGAGCTTCTCATGAAAAGTTGAGATCCCTTTCTGCACAGGTAGAACAAAAAAACACCGCAGGCCAAGATGGCCCCAGCAAACTCAGCTGCACCCAGCTGCAGCCAGAATCCCATGATTGCTTGGGCTCTCTACCAAGGGACACGCTGCAGAAAGCTCTGCTTACCCCACAGAGGACTTTCTGCCACCATGTTGGATCAACGGAATGAAACACCAGCTCTGGTTCTGCAGCTGACAACTCTGCCACCTCCACCTTAGCCGTGACTGCATCTGACAGTAAACAAACACCATTTTTACATGAGATCCTCCTGAACCTCCACAGAGCGAAGTCCAGCTAACTGCTTTCATCCCAATGCCATTTAATGAACCTAGTGAAAGTTTAACTTTTAATCGACTCTCAGTTCTTCAGATACTCCACCGGGTACTCAGTGTCTTAGCCAGGAAGAAGGGCTCTGCCCAGCCCCCAGCCATTTTTAGAAATTACCCTGCTTTCGCACGCTCGCTGCCTCAGGCTGCAGCACTGCAACCTGGCTCCCGACCCTGAAACCCCACTGCCCGCTGCTGGCTGGTCCCGCAGGGGGACAAAAGACACAGCACTGCCACAGGCTTCGGCAGATCTGCCTGGTCCACTCACCAAAAGGGGCAAAACATGAGCTGTAACTCCAGCCTGGTCAAACTCCTCCACAACTCAGTCCTGCCCAGCCCCGAGGGGAACACCTTGGCCAAATCACACGGGCTGACACCAGCCCTACAACACAAGACAGACAAACATCTACCTCAGCTCTGCCATGTCCATTTGCCATAAAATTCAAGAAATAACCACCTGAAAAACTCAGCAAG